CCTAAATCCTCTTTAACTCTAAAATTCTATGACTTTGATTTGCCCAAGGTCACATTTTGACCTTGGAGACAGCTAAGTGGCACAGCTGATAGAATGCCAGGCCTGCAGTCAGGAAGATTCATCTTCCTGAGATCAAATCTGGCCTCACACACTGACCAGCTGTGTGACCCTGGACAAGTCACTTAACCTTATTTGCCTCAGTTTCCTCATTTATAAAATGAGCTGGAGAAGGAAATGGCAAATGCTCCAGTATCTCTGCCAAGAAAACCCCAACAGGGGTCACAAGGAGTCAGCCACGACTGAAACAACTGAAGAATAACAACCCTTTGACCAGTGAGTAACTAGGTCTCCTGATTCCTAGCCTGCTGCTCCTCCCTCTGCACTACTGTCTCCTGTTATACTGTCTTTTAGTTTTACATGGACAAGGCCTATGTCTGGAGTAGGGACACATAACCTCCAGTAAAACCAATGCCCAAGCCAAACCCTAGAAATAAATGACTGGGCAGTCAAGGATTATAAGGAGCAGTGTGACTTTTAATTTTAGGGCTCCCTCCCCTGCCCCCGAGTTAAATTTGGACCATCTTACTTTGTCTCAGATTATAGTCCCCTGGACACCCCCTTAACTCAGGTCTTCCCTTTGGGGGCTGTCTGGGCCAGAGGTTTCCATTTAGAGAGGATTTAACACCTTTTTTCTAAAATTGAGGCTCCCACAGATACCAGGGGAAGATAGAGAAGTACAGTGTGTCCAGGCATGGACATTCCACTTGAAGCACCCATATTAATAACCCAGATCTACCCTCTAAGACACATCAGCCCAGAAAGCATGTGGTTGACTAGCTAGTGAGCTTGGTAATTTTGGAGATCTGTTATGACCATAAATCTATAAAATGACAGTGGCACTGAATAATAAATGGACATATCATTCTTTAAGGTTTATAAAACACTTGGCGTATCTTCTCACATTGAAATTTCTCAACCACCTTACAAGGTGTACTATATGTATTATTATTATTCACCATTTTACAGATGAAGAAACTGAGGCAGATATGAAATAACTTGCCTAGGGACATACAGCCAGTAGGTAAATGTGTGAATCTTCCAGATTCCAAGTCCAGTGTTCTTTCCACTGTGCCATGTGAGCAAACTGACTTCCTTACTGCCGCCACACTGATGATTGATTTTTCTGAAGATACTGGCTTCCTTTGCCTCCATTTTCCCTTCAGACTCAAGCAAAACCCATAATTCCAAAGAGGCAATATGGCACATCACAGTGGGTCCCCCAGGCCTCCTGTATCTCTGGGCTGAGATCTCACTGAGACCAATAATGTGCTAAGGGAGCTGAGGACAAGGACGTGATGTTCTCTTAAGAATGAGGACAGGAAGATCAGCCTCACTGGGGAAGCTCTGAGCCCTTAGGGTGTCAGAATCACACAAAGACTCTTCTTCTAAGAGCAGATGCACACAATCACAACCCCACTTATCCATTGGGTGAGGGACACAGAAGCCTTAAAGAAAAACAAAAACCCTTCTCAAAGAGGCACGCTGGGAGTCTAAATTTCCCAACCCTGCTATGCCAATCTTTCCCTCAGATGACATACAGGGTCAAGAACAATCAGCTGGGAGTCAGGAGATCTAGTGTGAGCTCTGCTAATTAGATAGGTCCTTTGTCTCTAGGCCTCAGTTTCTCATCTGTAAAACAAGGACACCACTATTTGCCTCAGAGGTTCAGTATGGGATGTGTAAGATAAATGAAAAACATCAAATACATGGTGACATTTATTGTTGTTGTTATTTTGAGGGGCCATGGAGGAGGCAGAAGCTGAGGGCTCCAGACCAAGAATTAGGCAGTCAGAGCACCTCCTGGCCATGTCCCTGGCTTCCCTCTCCTGAGTGGCAAAGCTAATTTTATCCAAGAAATAAGCTACCAGGACCATGTAGCTGTCTAAATCCTTCACAGCTTGAAGGAAAAAAAAATTCCTTGTTAGAGACTGAACGGGGAAAAAAAGCCCTTGTTAGAGAATTCTTAAAGGATGGCCGGCATCTGAGCAATCAAAATAACCCTTACACAATGATACAGGGTGTCCCAAAAATTCAAGTGCAGTTTTAAGCTTTGATGGCTTCAAGAAAAGAGTTATCAAAGAGGGGATCTGGAGACTTTCATCTTCAAGAGCTACAAAACTGCACCTAAGTCTTTTGCAATACTCTGTACAGCTTTCTTTTGTTCATTTTAAGGCATTTATTTTCTCTTCCTCTCCTATCTTCCTCATGGCAGGAATAAGGAGGGAAAAAGGAAAACAAAACCTTTGTAACAAGTAGGCAACAGGGGGGCATAGTGGATAGAGCACTGGTCCTGAAGACAGAAAGACCTGAGTTCAACTCTGACCACAGACACTTACCAGCTATGTGACCCTGAGCAAATCACTTAACCTCTGTCTGCCTCAGTTTCCTCATCAGGAAAATGGGGATGATGACAGCACCTACCTCCTAGGGTTGTGAGGATCAAATGAGATAATAATTCTAAATCACTTAGCACAATACCTGGCACATGGTTGGTGTTATATAAATGTTAATCATTATTATTATTATTATTATTATTATAGTCAAGCAAAACAAACTCCCATACCAGCCATGTCTGAGAGCATGCATCTTACTTTGTCTATTATTCCAACACCTTTCTGTCAGGAGACTACACAATTTTCTTTCTTTTCTTTTTTTAAATTTTATTAATTTATTTTGATTTATCAACACTCATTTCCATATGCGAGACTACACAATTTTCAAAAGAAAGTTCCCCATCCATGATCACATTTGGTTCTTAGAAAAATCTTAGGCTATAGGTAGGTCAGGGATTATGATTCTCCTCTGACAAGTGAGACTGAGATCCAGAGGGAAACAGCAAGATTGCAATGCTTGTTAAGTGGTGAAAGCTGGGTAAGAACGTAGAACTCCTTAGTGGTGGGCCAGGCCAGGGCTACTGCTCCAGCACCACCCTTCTCCCTATTGCAACTGTTTATCTTGATCAGACTCGAGATTCAATGAGCTAGTGCATGCCAGAGACAAGAGTGGCAGAAAAGCCCCTGTCTTCTGTGCTTGGTGCAAGCTCTTCTGGGACTTTTAGGACTCTAGGTCTAATGCTCTGGAGTTGGTGTCCCAAGGCAATGACAGAATAGAAAGCAATAAAAGTCAGCAAGAGGAAAGCAGATGGGTGTGTGTGTGTGTGTGTGTGTGTGTGTGTGTGTGTTAGCATTTTGACAATATTCCTAGAGAATGTGTTACCAATTTGGTCGGATGACCTGGCCATATAGGAAGAAAAGCAATTTAAAATGGACCCAGGTAAGGTTAAGAAAGTTACCAGAATGATAGAATTTCAAGATCTGAAGTTGTTTAGGCTGGTGTAGGAGCTCAGGTCCTTTCAGGGGGCCTTGGTTCTTAGACAAGGGTGACCACTTGCTAGACTGGGGAAGAAGGGATGGCCTCCCATCCAAGATGACCTTCTTTCTCCACCAAACTCCCACTTTAGAGAACTAGCAGGACTCTGGGTTCCTGAGATCCTCCAACTGAAGGTGGATTAGGGGATTCCAATGTCTTGAGCAGGGGTAGGGAAAGGCTAGTCTTTGGAAAAGAACCGTGGGAAGTAAATGGCACACAGTCCAACAGGAAGAGAACTGGGTGGAGATCAGAAGTCCTGGGTCCCAGTCCTAGTTCTGCTCCTGTGACCTTGGGAGAGTCTCTACCCCTCTCTGGGCCTCAATCTTCTAGAATAATCTTTAAGGTCCCTTCCAGCTCTCATGTTCTATAAACCTACTTGAGGAACCCTGAAAGTTACCTTGCCATCCTTCAGGGGCTGAGTATGCAGCTTGAGAATGAGTCTGCACCCAACTCTTTATTTCCTCTTCATTCCCTTCTCAATCACCTGGCCATGAGGCTGAGCCCCATTTTGGAAGGGTAGGTCCAGGAACAGGAAGAATTAATTCAATTGCAACAAGACCCTAAGCTTGGAGGGCAGGGACTACTTTTTCTCTATATATTCCAAATGCAGTGCACATAGTAGGTGCTTTAAAACACCTTGTTGAACTGAATTGATTGCCTTGGTGAAAAGGTTTGTCTGTTTAACACAAGGTTATGGGATTACCTGTGGGTTTCATTCTATAGATTCATAGAAAGTTGGAGCTGGAAGAGACCTTAGAAATCATCTCATCCAGGGCTTATATATTTTGATAACTGTATTTCATTTTGTAATCCTATATACTTTATTCTAAGCATTTAAAAACATTATTCTGATAGGAGGTCCATGACACACAAAAAGGTCAAGAAACACTGGTCTTGTCTAATCCCTTCATTTTATAAATGAGGAAACTGATACCCAGAGAGTGACTTGTCCAAGGTCATACTACTAGTTAGTTGTGTAATCAAGACTTGATCTCATGTCTATTGACTCCAAATCCAGTCTTCTAAGACCAAAGTTAAGAACACAGAGCCATCTGCTTTATATCTTTCAGGCTGCCTGGACCAATGATCTCTTGAGATCCCCTCTAGTCAAGAACAGCCTGCTCTCTTGGTATGATTTCAGAGGTTCCATGAAGATTGCATTAAGGGTCCCTGATGCTCTGGGATCAATGAGAAAAGCATCACAATTTTAGCATCATAGCATGTCAGAACCAGAGAGTAGCTCAGAAATTATCTCGTCCAAACCCTCTTTTTGCAGGTGAGGAAACTGAGGCCAGAGAGGGAAAGTGACTTGCCTGAGGTCTCACAATGAGCTATTAGCAGAGCAAGAACTGGAACCCAGGTCCCTTGCCTTGGAAGTCCAGTGCTCTCTTCTAACAAAGGCTGAATCCAATTTCCCTCAATCCTCTGAAGAGTCAAGAGTTGGCTGAGTGAATGACATGGATATGAAGTACTCAAGACATCCTCCCTGGCACCTCTGAATCCCATGCGATGCCCCACGTGCCCCCTAGACCCTCTCCCACAGCCCCAGCAGCAACCCCAGGCAGAAGTACCTTGTGAGAATAATGCTGATCCACAATTCTCGCCAAGCCGAAGTCACCAATCTTCAGCACGAGATCTTCTGTGCTGATGAAGATGTTGGCCGGTTTCAGGTCCCTGTGTAACACGTTGGCAGAGTGGATGTACTTGAGCCCACGAAGCAGCTGGTACATGAACAGTTTGGCATGTTCCTCGGCCAATGTGCCCTGCTCCAGCAAGCGAGCTAAGTCTGTCTCCATGTACTCCTGGACAATGTAGGCCATGTTGAACTTAAAAAGCTCCCCCTGAAGGTCAGCCCCCTTGGGTCCGAGGACCTCATACACCTTCACAATGTTGTCATGGTCGAGGCGACGGATGATCTTAATTTCCCGTAGCGCATGCTTCATGCTCTGGGCATCGCTCATGGCAATCTTCTTCACTGCCACCTTCCGGCAGGTCTGGCTGTCTGTGGCTGAAAGCACTAGGCCATTGACGCCAAATCCCAGGGGTCGGAAGTCGACAAAGCGCCCGCCAAGGTCATAGCCATACATGTTGGCAATGCAGTCACCCTTCTCAGCCATCATCAGCTCAGTGCTGTAAGGCTACCTGTGTGAGAGAGGAGGGAGGGAGAGAGACCGAGCCCAAGTCAGTGTCTCCACTAACACTCTTCATCCCACTAAGTCAAGCATCCCTTCCCAATGTCCAGACACAACAGGGGTACGTGTGCTACTCACTGGGGCCAGGGAAAACAGTTTCAAATAAGATCAAGGAGAAGACTTTTCCTCACTCTCAGCAATCTCTGTGTCTAAGTGGTTCAAAATTCTTTGAAATGGAGCATCTTGGTGGAAAGTACCAATGTATTTGTAAAGATGACCATCCATCCAGAAAGCACATCATCTTTAGCTGGGGTCTCTTTAACTCTGGTCCTTGAAGTAAGAGCTTCAGGAAGAGTCTCCTTTTAAATCCTTTGTTAATTACAAATTAAAGAGTTCAGGTGGAGAGGGTCCTCTGCTCTGCAATTCAGGGACTATTTGGTGATGCCTTAGGACTTTAGGTTTTCAAAAGCTTAGTGGTAATTCAGCGAGAGCTACTCAGTGGCTTCTTCCCATGCCCCGAAAATTCAAGTCATTGACTGGCTTTGGGGCTTCCACTGAAGTGATCAAACTCAAAGCAAGCAGAATGGTATCAGGCAAGAATGCTGGAGAAAGACCAGGCTGTCATACACATTGGAGCTCATGGACCAATGCTGGGCAGATCCTGGGACGTTCAGCTTCCTTTCCACAGCTTCAGATGGGAACAGCTTGGGTAGCACCCTCTCTCACTTCTTCATACTTGCTGCTCTCTGCCTGGTTCCCAATTCCATTTCCAATTAGATCCAAGACTCTCCTAACTGCAGCATCTTTCAGACTGAGCCTCCCTGAAGTAGCAACCCTGGGTAAATTTCCACACTCTGGCTTCTGACACCTTCCCACTTGCATGTCTCTTGTTAATCAGCCCAAATGTTATTTGATCCGTTGAGCAGGTTGAAACACTGCTCACCAGTGGGGTTTCTGGTATAGAGCAGGCAGTCTGGCTAACTCTGTTGCCTGTTCACAGCTCTTCTCCTGGAAGAGAGGAAAGATTGATTGATTTGATAAGACCATCAAATGGTAAGCCTTTTATGTAAATTCCTGTTCTCTGAAGGTTAACATGAGCAAAGATGTAGGTGGGAACTATCAGCCCTGACCTTTTGGAAATTCATTAGTTATGCTCTTCAAACACATACATATCAGCACTGCTCCTCAGAAAGGGGGTAAAAAATAACTCACTGCAGACAGAAGTCAAAGTTGCTACATCCCAGCTTTTCTCCCACACTTTTTCCTACCTCCCTTCTTTTGCAAACATTTAAATACCTGGAGAAATTATTTCCTCTAGACTGAGATCTAGTTAGACTTATAGCTTTTACTAGCTATCTATTTAGATAATATGTAAAATGAATTTACATTTGCCAAATTATTGTTATTATCAGCAGCAGTATTTGTATAATATTTTAAGGTTGGCAAAGTACATTATAAATATTACCTCATTTTATCCTCATAAGAACCCCGAGAGGTAGGTATTATTATTATTATCACTATTTAACAGAGGAGGAAACTGAGGCAGGCAGAGCTTAGGTGACCTGCCAAGGTCAGACAGCTAATAAATTTAAGAGGCTGTATTTAAACTCGGCTATTTTTTTTTTCCTGACACCAGACCCAAGGTTTTATCCACTAAATTAAGAAAATTCTGTCGCAACTACAACAAACAAGATATTCTCTGCTCAGCAACCCAGAACAAAGACCTCTCCATAATACACTTGGGCCGAGTACACTGAGCACTCTTTGCTTCTGCAGTGAGTTACCGTCTCTGGCTGTTAACTGCACCTAAAGGGAACACTGTTGTTCAGACCATCAAATAAAGATGAAGTCACCGCTATCATCCCCCTGGTGGCAACTTGCTCAAATGACGGATACAACAGCCAGAAATGAAAAGCCCACAGAAGGCTACCAGGACAAACCGAGATCTATAAAACAACAACAAAGGTCATAGCTTCTAAAACAGGAGCAGCTGTCCTGGGGCTAATAAACCCTGTGGGATTAGGGAGAGAGCACATACACCAGGCATCAGGAAGGAGTGATTATGTATTCAGGACAAAGGAAGGAAACAGGACAAGGTAGCATTTTATTGGGTAACCACCGTGTGTTCACCTTGCATGGATTTATTAAAATAAATACTGATAGTTGGGCAGAAGTTGTATAGAGACCGTCTTTGATGAGTTCTTTTACCTTTAACTTTGTCAGCCTTCTCCCACGCACATGCAACCCGAGAAATAATCAAGTAAAACAACAGCCAGCTTTTAATTCTCTAAGATTAAGGGTAGGGAATAGGGAGTATGGTAAGATACAAAAGGCAAATAATTTACAAAAATCATTTCTGCTTGAATTTCAAATGCATTTACATGTGAATATTGGATAAATACATTCTAGAGATTCCTCACAAAAATAACAAGTAATAACAATGGCAAAAACAATATGGGGGGACAAAGGTCTTTAATGACAGGAGCATAGGGCAAAGTCACCAAGTGTACCTTTTCCCCTCAAGTGTCACTTTGACTGAGACATTGAAATTTGAAGGCAATTTACATGGACTATGTGGATAACTGCCAGAAGCATGACGGGAGATGTAAGAAATTCACTGAAATAACCCAGTGAGGAGGTTATGAGTCAATAAAAAGAAAAGATCTTGACAGCCATGACAGGTCTTGACAACTGCATGAGTGAGTCTTTTGTGTCAGTCAGGTGTGGCATGGCCTTTCTAACAAAAGAGCTGAAAAGGTATTGATTAGCACACAAGCATATTGACCTAGGCCAGTCTCAAGAGAGGGATAACACTTTCTTCCTGTCCCACCCAGACGGGAAGCAGCCAACAGCATCAGTGGCCAAAGAGAGCTCTAACAGATGATTCTAGCAGAGAAATAGCAAGTGGATTCAGATACAGATGATGATGGAAGAGGTAGGAGCTTCAGCAGATGATGGCTCAGAAGGCAGAGGAGAGTAACAATAGCAAGGGACCCTCTGGGACCATGGGAACAGTAAGAGCCAGTGAGTTTCTGGAACACAGAGATTTGAGAAGTGACCCAGCCACAGCACAATCTCACTGGAGACTGTCCAGGGAATTTTCACTTTCCCTTACCAGCATGGGAGTCTGTGAAAGACTGTTTCTCTTTGTGCGCGGAGAACTGATGATGAGTCTATTGCTTGATTATCTGCTATTTACTTGATTGCTTGGTTCTTGTTATTTGATTTATGAATTACATCTGATCTGTTAGTAGAGAATCACTGGAGGGGTGCTTGAACTATATTTTCATTAACTTTGATTATCTAGTATTCGGGCAGCTAGGTAGCACCATAGTGCATGGAGTGCCGGGCCCGGAGTCAGGAAGACTCATTTTTCTGAGTTCAAATCTGGCCTCAGACACTTACCAGCTGTGCGACCCTTTTTGCCTCAGTTTCCTTATCTGTAAAATGATCTGGAGAAGGAAATGGCAAACCACCCCAGTATCTTTGTCAAGAAAACCCAAAACGGGGTCATGGAGAGTTGGATACGACTAAAAACAAGTGAACAACATAGTCTATCCTAAGCTTGGAATAATGAGGGGTTCCAGAGGTATATGAGATCCATGCTACATTATTGTGGCCACTGTTAATTACATTACAGAGCTAGAAGCAACTTTAGATATGAGCTAGTTCAATCCTCACATTTTATAGTTGAGGGAACTGGAGTCCAGGGAAGGTAAATGATTTGCCAAGGGCCATGGATCTGAAACTAGATCTCACGACTCCAAATACAGTTCTTTCTCCTACACCATATTGATTCCCATCTACATATTTATATAATTCCTCTAGTCAGGAACCCTTAGTGGCTCTCCACTGACTACCAAATAAAGTAAAAATTGATGATCCCAGCTTTGAAAGCCCTTCCTAGGTTGACTCCATTCGAACCTTCTTCAGTGTTCTACACTGAGGAAAACTGTACTATACATCCCAGTAATTGTTCTTTTCTCTCCTGTCTTATGCTGTATCTCATGCCTAGAATGAACCAACCCTCATTAATCCCAATACCTCCAACCCCCTACACACATACCTACACGCATACACACACACCCCTCTTTTTTCAAGGCTCAACTTGAGTGACACTTCTCCCATGTAGCCTTCCTTGATTAAATCTGCTGCTCTACTCTCCCTATCCCAGTGAATATCCATCTGATTACAGATTTAGAGTTAGAAGGGACTGTTATACCCAACCCCCTCAATTTACAGATAAGGAAATTCAGGCCCAAGGGAAGTGAAGTACTGCCCGAGGGCATGCTGGTAGTGAGCACCAGGAGTGGGTTTTGAACACAAGTCCTCAAACTCAAGAGCCAGGGTTCTCTTCTTCCTCAGATATCTCATAGATTTTTGTCTGAGTGTCTGCTTTGTGCCCATATTTCTCTTTCTTGAACCACGGAGATCTGTATGTCTTTATTCCCATTAGAGAGTAAGCTCCATGAAGGCAGGCCTACATTGTACCTATCTTTGTATCCCCAGCACCTATCATTACACTTTCTTTGCACATGGTATGCACTTAATAAATAAGAACCTTATAATTCTTCAAAACAACCTTAGAAGTACATAGTTCAAATACTATCACCCCACTTACCAGAAGAGGAAACTGAGGCTCAAAGACATAAAACAGGCACATGGTTAGTACACGTCAAAGCTGCACCAAGAAGAGCCTTTGAAATCCAGAGTTCATTTCATTACAACATGCTGCCATCTTCAACAATTTTACTAAACATTCATTAGACCCAATAATGAAAGAATTAAAAAAAAATCAGAATGAGACAGTTGGGAAAGAACTTTGAGATCATTTAATCCAACCCCCTCATTTGAGGGGTAAGTGAACTGAAGCTGAGTGGGGTAAAGCCTTTGCCTAAACAAAGCCATAGCTAGCAATAGCTAATTATTGACGGAGTCAGGCCTAGAACCTCCGTCCCCTGGCTGAGAGCTCAGTGCCCCTTCTGCTCTAACCTGCTAATAAAGCCACACTGGGAAGGCCCCGAATCAGGAGAAGCTAGGAAGCTGCTGTGCTTTCCCATCAGCTTCTGTCTTGGGAATGGGAATCATCAGCCTAACCAGAGCTGACTTAATTCTTTAAGCATTGTTCTTGGCAGGGAAGGTAATTAAGTGTTTCAATTCCTGCTGATTCTGCCTCTCAACTGAGAAAAGCCATAATTCAGGCCTTCCTTATGTTCCTGATTGGTCTCTCTGTCTCTTTTAGCTCCCCTTCTCCAACCGTCTTCCTCACAACCCAAAACAATTATATTCCTAAGGCTTGGGTCTGAGCTGTCCCTACCCTACTCAAAAACTTTCCATGGCTCCCCATTACCTACTGGATAAAATACAGACAGACTCCTTATCCTGGCATTTGAGGCCCTTCACAATTTGACTTCCTTTCCAGTCCTGCGTCACACCACTACCTTTCATACATTCTGTTTTTCCAGCTCACACTGTTTTGCTTCACATACTCTGCTTACTTTCTAGGAGACAGAGCTGGGAGAGGTGTCCCAGACACATGTATAGAGGGCTACCAGCTGTTCTCCAATTTTGTCTTCCTCTTTCCCATGGTTGTGTATTCATGAGTGATCCCCTATACCTAGAACATTCTTCCTTTTTGTCTCAGCCTGTTGAAATCCTTTCAGGGGCCTATCTCAAGGCCAGCTCCTCCAGAAAGCTTTCCCTGATTTCTTACCTCACTCTTTCTCCAGATGAAAGCAATTTCTTCTTTCGAAGATTTTCCTGGAACCCTTTGTCTCAATTTCTCTTTTATCTTGGTCACATTTCACCTTGTATCACACTAATTTTTGTACACATCTTTCACCTCCCCTCCCCTCCATGAACTATAAAGTTCTTGTTTGTAGAGAATGATGGTTTATTGTTTTTGTATTTTTTTTTAAATCTATGTATCCCCAGAGACAATGAGCCCAGCACCTTGTATGTACCAGGAAATGAGAAAGAAATGTTTTTCAAATTGTTGAATTTTGCTG